AGATGACCTTCTGGGGTCCCTTCCAACCCTTATATTCTATGATTCTAGATTCTATGCATACCGTGGAAACTGCAGAAGACATTATATACACAGAGACCATGAAACAATACCTCCTCCCACCCCACTCTCCTGCTGGTAATAGCTTATCTAAAGTGATCACTCTCCTTACAATGTGTATGATAATCAAGTTGGGCCATTTCCAGCACAAATCCAGGTTTTCTCCCCCCCCACCCCCCAAAACACACACACACAAACTCACTCTCCTGCTGGTTATTGGTCATGGTTATTCATGAGCTGCTCTCCATTAACCTTTCACCTCCAGGGGCTCCTCTTGTCAATTACAGCCAGCAAGCAAATGAATACCTTGCAAATGGCTTTGTCTCTGAATGGGGGAGGCTTAGCCAGGGGTGGGGTGAGAAGGGAGAGGGGGAAAGAGATACAGAGAGAGATACACTGAGGCTAGAAGAGGCAGAATTAAGGAGCGGTGAGGTGACCCCATCTCCATGCACTAGCCAAAAGGTCTGATCCAGCACCCACAGGAGGCAACAGAAAGGCACCCAATGGCAGATCATTGGATCTGGATCAGCCCAAGGTGGCACCAGATGGAGAAAAGGGAGGGAGGAGAGGGAAGAGCTGGTGAAGAGGTGTGGAGGAGTCTCTCCTACCACTCATGTACAGCGCCTAGCGCAACAGGGCATGTTAGGGGTGATGGCATGTTGGATCCATGTGACAATATTGACTGGTCTGATTGTTCTCCTTGTGCTGTCCATGAGGTCAGAGCCCCTTCTGTCCCCAAGGGGGGAAAAAAGGAACAATCTGATCAGCTTAATAAAACAGCTCTGGAATCATCTGCCTTTCCTCCCGGCGTCCCCTGCCTTCCCTTGCTCTGTCTTTGGAGGGCTCTCCGATCCAGTGCAAGGCCCGGGCTTATTCCTGCCTTTGCCCCTGGTTCAGTGTGGGACCATTGGCCGCTCACATCTCCTTCCCGTGACTCCGTTTCCCCATCAGTAAAAGGGAGGTCATAAGCCTTGCCTACCTTGTGGGAGTGGGGTTAATGTGGCGTTTGCCCCCTGCAGAGGACCAGCACAAGGTGTCGGCAATGCTTAAAGGCCACTTAATGCCTCCAGTGGGACCAAAGGGGCGCACAGGCCAGCGGCACTGTTGTGAATGTCACCCAACTGTAAAGCGCTTTAGGATCCTCAGATGGCAGGTGCTGTAGGAGTGTATAGTGGTATAGGAGGCAGTGTGCCTAGTTGACAGAGCACTGGACTGGGTCTCAGGAGACCTGGGGTCTATTCCTGGCTCTGCCACTGGTCTGCTGGGCGACCTTGGGCAAGTCACGTCACTGCTCTGTGCCTCAGTTTCCCCATCTGTAAAAGAGGGATAATGATACTGGCCACCTTTGGAATGAGCTATGAGATTTACTGATGAAAAGTGCTAGATAAGAACTGGGTTTTATATTCTTTCTGATACTGACAGAAGAGCCACGGTCCCTAAGACCCCACCAATGCTAGTCCCTACTTGGAGCTCCTAGGCTCAACAAATAACACTTATAACCCAATCTCATGCGTAAGGCTGCAGGTTTGAGCCAAGGGGCAAGCTGCTCATCAGTGGAGCTGCTCTGACTTCCGCCTGCTGAGGATCTGGCTCTGGGAGCTCCCCAGCCAGCTGGATGAATGCTCCGGTTTAAGAATTCCTTTGCATCCCCGTGCCTTCTGCTGTTCCCTTGCTGTCATTCCCCTGCTGCACGGCTGCCAGATTCTCCACTGGAGGAGGGGACTGTCCTCTCTGGATGACAGGAGTTCTGGGAAATCTCTCTGCAATGGCAGTTGTGTGCTAATTACTCTGACCTTTGCTTAAGCGGGGATCCTTCAGCGGCAGGCGAGGCATCAGCCGTGTCATTTACTATGCAAATTGAGACCATCAGTTATATCCGGAAGGTCCTGGAATGTTTAATTTTCTTCCCATCCCTTTTCCATTTTTTTTACTGGTGCCTGCCAAAAAGTTGCAGTGAGGAGCCGTTGGCTTTTGGCGGGGCCAGGGCTGGCAGGCGTTCAGGGTTAAAGCCCAGCAGACAGAAGCATGGTTACTCATCCAATTTTCTTTTCATTCTCTCTCTCTCTCTCTTTTTTTTTAAGTTTTAATTAGCTGCTATTTCAAATGCTCAGCAGCTGGCTTGGTGAGTAGGATTGCAGAGCTCCCATCTCTGTGATCAAGCGGTCACTCTAGTCCAGGGAGGAGTGGAAGAACTGCTATCGCAGAATAGGTCAGAGAACCATCTGGTCCTGTCACCTGTCTATTACAAATGCTTCAAGGGAATACGTGAAACCCTTGCAAGGTGTGAAATGCACCCCTGGATGGAGGTGCCAGCCTGAGGCCTTGCACCATTTAAACTCCTAGGACTTGGTACATGGGCCTCGTGCTGGGGTGAATTTCACCCAGTGTTCCTAAGGGCTGGCTATTCTGCACCCACAATCAAGGCCATCTTTTTCAAAGAGCTCAGCAGCCCATGAACTGAGCCCTGCTGGAAACCTGCCACCGCTTATTATGGTGCATTAAATGGGCACTCAGCTCTTTTGTTCAATTTTTTCCTGACCCAAACAGGGGCCTGGAGCATGAGGATGGAAAGCCCTTATTAGCCTACCTGACATAACTGCGGATTATAAGCCAACCCCATCTTTCATAAAATTCAATGGGGTTGCTCCTGAGATGAATTTGGCCCCGTGATTTAGATTGTAAGCTTTTAGTTCTGTGTTTGTACAGCACCTTGCACAGTAGGGTCCTGATCAATGACTGGGGCACCTAGGTGCTACCGTAATACAAATATAATTGTACGTACATTATATGGATTTCTAATGGCCCCATTGCCATAGTATTCCAGAGCCATTATGTAACTAGAACAGTACATCTCTGCTCCATCACTAACCAGAGTAGGGGCTAAACTGGTGATGCCTATTTCTGGGAGGACAGGGAGCTCAAACCCTAAGGGGCCAAGCCTCAGGCAATAGGTCTGAAATCCAGAAGGTGTGTTTACACACACACTTGCAAGAAGCCGGGCAGGGACTCAAAAAGGAGAATGCGAAATGATGAGCTCAGCTGAAAGCTGTTTGGGAAGCAGGAATGAAGAGTGGCAAAGCAAGGAGGGGATGCTCCCTCGAGATCTGATATTATGGAAAGGGTGAATGCAGAGGAAGGCTTGGAGGAGACGCCGGAGACAGGGGAACTGCCGAAGAATTAAGACGAGGAGGGGAGAGAGCAGTTATGGCTTGAAATGACAGATAATAAAAGGAGTAGGTGGATGGTAGAGATTAGCTCTCGAGACGGCTGATCGGAGGGAGCAACACGACAAAGGGAGGATGATACAAATCAAAGTGATGTGTGAAAAAACAATCTGCGGCAGTGGAAATAATGGGAAGATTTTTGTCTCTTCCCGGGCATGCGTCATAGGAGGGAAGAACGCATTGAGCAAATATATTCGGAGCACTAGGGGCCCATTGGTGTCAGCCCCTGGTGCAGAAGGAGGGGAGAGAAAGAGAGCCCTGTGGAAGTCACCAGTACTTCTGGCTGAGGAAGGGCTCAAACGCTCACAACGGCACTGTGATGATTGTTGTTTGTTCCAGTAACATCCAGAGGCCCCACGTGGATCATGGCCCTTCTCATGAAAGCTCATGCTCAAATAAATTGGTTAGTCTCTAAGGTGCCACAAGTCCTCCTTTTCTTTTTGCGAATACAGACTAACCCGGCTGTTACTCTGACACCCACAGAGTAAAGGATGGTCCCAGCCCCAGTGATCTTACAGTCTATACACCAAACAGACACAGGGTAGGAGAAGAGATCTGAGCTCAGTTCTTGGTGCTGCCACTGGCTCGCTGGGACAAATCACTTCATCTCTCCACGTCTTCAGTTCCTGGCCCATAACACGGGGGTGGCCGTACTGCCCTTCTCCCATTGCCGTCTGCCTGGTCTGCTTAGGCGGTGAGCTTTTTGGGGCAGTGTTGGCAATAATTATCCTAAGGAGGTTATGAAGCATTACCGTGACTCAGTTTCCACACATGCATTCGTTTGTTAGTCTCAAAGGCCACTTGGTGCTGGTTACATCCAAAATATCAATACAAGCATATACGGCCTTCTATGCCCTAGCAACAACACACCTATAAGTGCTGACCAACATAATTACAACAGGTTCAGGCCCGGGAGACACCTTGCATTATGGCATGACTCCAGACGGTGAGGCAAAGCTCTGCTAAAGAGCCCCTAAAAAACCTTGCTTTGTATACGCTATAATAAACACATGATATTACTACTGGTTATTGACCCTTAACCAAAGCTAGATGAGGGAGTTTTAGGAAGCAGGTTCCCAGTTAACCACGCTCTCTGTTTCTGTTACTTCCGCTCCAGCCCTAAAAATGATAACGCTGGTATTCCCCGGGTCACTGCAAAGTTAACTCAGCAATTCTTCTTTCTCAGGATTTTATTTTCTTTGATCTCATGCTGGGAGCCTGTTTTTCATGCTAACATCCAAACTTCCTTACAACCATAATTTATGTAGGTCCCATGTAGGCCTAGATTCCTACAGGCTGGGCCAGTCTCTCGCTATGTGTTTGTGCAACGCCTGGCAAAATGGGGCCCCGATCCTGACTGGAGCCTCTAGGTGCTGCTGTAATACAGAGCATGTTGGCAATTGCTTCCCCTACCCATGTTAAATGGCCTTACGCTGGTCTTTTGCTGGTTTCCTTGGGTTATAAATAACCGGCATTCCACACAGGCAATTGCAATGCAAATCCCATATGCTCCAGTCCCGCACTGGAGGGGGTGCTGAGGTTTGTCCATTTCCAGGGTCGAGCTGCTTCCAGAGATGTGTCGATCTCAAGCATGTGGGACCCAAGAGTTGAGCCCTCCTTCCTGCCCCCCAGCAATTACGTATCCCCCCAAAAGGAGCTTGAGTAGGGCCGGCCGGTTCGAAGGCATGTCTAAATGTGCCATGTCTTGTCCGCCCGCAGGGGGAGTGTGCGTGGCCCAGTCTGTCAAGATACCTCGGGAGCCCAAGGCGGGAGAGTTCGATAAGATCATTCGCCGTCTCCTGGAGACCTCCCATGCTCGGGCCGTCATCATCTTCGCCAACGAGGATGATATCAGGTGAGTGGATAATGGGCTGGCCTAGGGGTGGTGTGGGGGGCAAACCACATGAAGCGAGGAGGGGGAACACAAGGTTCTCTGTGTGTTGGTATCTCCCGATGCTGTCTGCCCCGCCGTGTATCCTACAGTTCCTTAGCACTCCATGGACCCGGTAGCCTGTTTTACAGGCCACGTCACAGCGCTGGTGGTGTTTGGTGCAGAGGTTACATAATTATAATGAGGAGAGTGGGGGCTAATGGTTAGAGAAGCAATCCGGAGTCAGGGCTCTGGGATTCTGTTCCTGACTTTGCCACTGACTCTGTGTGACCTCGGGCAAGTCATTTAGACCCATGTTTCCAGAAGGGGCTGCTAGTTTTGGGGTCCTCAGCTTCTGGGAGCTCCACTTGAGTCCCTCAAGAAGATACTCCATCCCTGCGTGCAGTGGGGAGCTGCAGGATTACAGGCAGCAGACAAATCAAGGTGACATATGGTGGCTTACAATGTTTACGGAGCCTAATGATTCACATTGATTTACACCTGCTTTTTGTAAGTGTCTAATTTATTAATCAGCAAACATTATGTAAATGTGGGTAAACGGAGATTTTAAAGCCATTTACATCTGATATGCAAACGATCCAAGTTTCTTTTCCCTCCTTAATAGAAATGTCTGAAAACCTGACATTTACGCTCGCTTGCTTATGCGCTGAGGAATCCGGGATTTACCTTGCTGTGTAAATGGCAAGCACCATTAAACAGGGGTTTGTAAACATTTACCCAGGCGAGGGGTGTGTGTAAAGGGGGAATTACCTCCCACTAGAACTCATTGACACACGTACACACCTGGAAAATGTGGTTTGTTTTTTTCCTGTGCGGCAGCAGCCTGATACCCACTGCTGGTCAGATGCAGCACTGTTACACCAGGGGAACGACACTGACATCAGTGGGATTGCTCCCGATTTACAGCAGTGTAAATGGGATCGGGGGCTGGCCCCTTGCCTACCGATCAGTAGAGATGCATGCAGCACCAGCTCGCTTATTCTTGATGGGCCACCTGCCCTGCTGATGTAATTGACATTCATGGAGCGGCACCCACGTTCACCAGCTGAGGAGTTAGCCCAGGCATGGGTGTTTAACCCTTTTGTAATGCGCCTGCCACATAGCTGTGCGGTACCTAGCACAAGGCGGTCTTGGTTCTTCACTAGGGTTCGTAGGTACTAGGGTAATTCAAAGACAGACCAAACTAATCATCTTTCATTAGGATTGTGGTCGCATGCCAGGACCCCAGTCAGGAGTGGAGCCCCGTTGTGGTAGGTGCTAGACACAGGAGAATACAGTCCTTGCACCAAAGAGCTTATAGTTTAATTTAGACCTGGAATAAAAACCATGGTGGAAACCTGTAGCATTCATACAAGGTTCATGCACTTGGCAACATTCAGGGCACACCCGGAGTGTTGTGTAGGAGCAGTGCACACACGGCTCCTCTCAAGGGCATGAACCTTGGAATCTCGCCCAGATGACATGAACCATGGGAAGTCTCCCAGGACTGGGCTCAAGGCCCGAGAGCAAGGAATGCGGTAGATAGAAATTGGTAAATAAGAATGTTAAACAAAGCCAGTGTATTCCTTTTATCTGTTGGAGAATGTAATGCGCGGGGGGAGAGAAAGAATAAAGGAGAGGGTGGAAAGCTGACAGGAGCAGCCCGTTGGCAGACCAGCCTGCTTGCTTGCTTAAAGCTTTGTGCTGTCTTGTATTTGGACCGCAACAGAAACCATCTAAGGGCCAGGTGTCATTTGGCGTAGCTCCATTCATTGGTTTCAACAGAATGACCCCGATTTACACCCACTTAGGAGCTGGTCCTGTACCCCAAGTGGAAAGAACCAACAGAAGTAAATCCACAGCCAGACCAGTGTGCATCAGCTGCCCCCAACTCCCTCCCAAAGCCACTTGGTCTGAGTCCCGTGGTTGGGCTGGGATTGTGCCACTTGCTGACCCTCCCATCCAGCTTGGGCAATCCTTGTGCTTGTCACCTCACTGCAGGGGAGCCGGTGCTGGGAGCAAGGGAAGTGGCAACGCAGCTAGCGTTGGTCACAGATGTTCGGCATCCCTGCGGCTCAGTGGAGTGTGGCTTTTAAAACAAATATAATAATGCCATCTGGACTCGGGTAGCAAGTAATTAAATCCCTGACATAGGATGTGTGAGTCATAAATCTGCCTTTATGGTTAATGAGAAACAAGTGGGGGTGGGGGGGGTCCTCAATTCTCTTCCCAACAGTGCACCTAGGGCTCAATCCAAAAGGCGATGAAGTCCGTCTCATCAGTGAGCTCTGGATTAGGGCCCCCCTAGTTACCTGTGCAGTGCTGCAGATAGAGGCTGATGGGGGAGGAAGGGCAGGGAAAAGAGGGAGAAGGGGCAGATGATGACAAGTAAGGGGAATAGGAGAGGACAGAGGTGCTGCTGAGGTTGATGGGCCCTGTTATAAGAGCTTAGATAGACCGAGACAGCTGGATGCTGAGTGCTCCTAACATCGCTGGAAGGCAAAGGTGTTCAGTGCCTCTCAGGATCAAGCCCTCTAGGGAGTTGGAGAGAATAAGGAGGTCGCGTTTCAGGGCCTGGGAGGCTGAAATCCGTGAGACCAGGCCAGAGATTCAGGGTCTGCACAAACACCTGGAGGAATGCAGGCCCTGCCCCAAGCTTACAATGTACCTGAGGGCCATGCAATAAAAATCATGGCGCAGAACATTTCAAAGAAATCCCCCCCAGCGGGTGTAAGTCGGCACCGTTCTGTCAAAGTCCGCAGATCAGATCCTTCGCTGGCCTACGTCGATTTCAGTGGAAAGATGCCAGTTTGACTAGCTGAGGATCGAGGCTGGGGAGAGAGGGGTGGTGCTGGGTGGCAAGGATCACCAGCAGTTTGGCAGTGGCTGGCTGCCTGAGTGGCACTTGATCACCTGGCAGTGCCCAGTTCAGTGGTTGCACTGGCATGGGTAGGAACATTTCTCTCACTCCAGCGGCTCACGAGGCTGATCTGAGTTGCCTCCCTGCCTGCAAGAAACCCCCTCCTCAGCGCTGGAGCCTTTCCAGCCTGCTGCTGTGTAACCTGATTTTCCCTAATGTTCAGTAATTAAAGGGGGAATTCAATTACCTTCAGTACGTATGCAAATAGGGCTGGAGAGCCAGTCTCTCTGTGCAGCTCCCTCGGGAGGGGGCGATGAAGCTGCAGCCGTGCGGTGGAGTCGGGGACTTGGCTGGCTGCATGCTCAGCTGGGGCCTCTGCACATTTCATGCCGCTGCTTCAGCTGGGGCGGGAGAGGCACAGAACAATGCAGTTCCCTGTCGCTGGCTGCACATTCACCTCAGTGCCCTAGTTCACCTGCTCGCTTTACCCATTGCTATGGCCTACTGCCATCTCTCTTCACTAGAGATGGGCATGAACCCCAGCCCCATGCTCTGTGGGTCAGGGCCATCTCCCTCTGGCATCCTCCCCACTTTCAGGCTCAGCATCGTTTCTCCTCCTCCTCCTGGCTCTCCCCTTTTCTTGCCCCTCACTTGCTCTATCCACCCTCCCTCTTCCTTTCTTTCACTCGCACCGCATCCCTCCTGCCTTGCTGCCCCACCGGCCATAAACATGCCTGCACTGCAGGCTAGGTTAGAATCACAGGGCAGACACCAATGGAAGGACAGGGCAGGGTAAATTATTCAATGAATTTTCCACTGATTGCCTAACGCTCTGCAATATTTAATAACTCTCTTGCCTGCAGCTCTTCCCTGCTTAAATACCAGGGGTGTCCTTCTCCCCTGGCCTGCTGCTGGCACAGTCCTTTCCATCCTGGGCAGGGTGGGGACCGTTCTAACTGGGTAGCATGTCGTTGCTCCCTTTGTGTCTGTGCAAAGGGACAGCACACGGCAGGGCAGGACTGGGTCTAGTCAGAACAGGGAGTGGAGATTTCACCTCTTTCCCTGGGCAGCACTTGTGCCCAGCAGCTGTGAAGGCAGGCAGAAAAGGGCTGGAGACGGGTAGGGGTAAATGGCAGGAAGGGGGATAGACAGTGTGTGTGATAGGAAAGGGGATGGCATAAGGGTGGAATGGCTGGGATTTCCCCTTCCAGGAGCTGCCACGAGAGGGGCAGAGATGGGTGGGGTGCAAGATGCAGTGGCCGGGGTGTGTGTGACTGTGAAGAGCTCCTGACTTGGCCAGTGCATATCCTGCTGCCATCACAGCATAACTGTTTTAAAGCATAATTATTCTGTGGCTCTTCAGCTCTTGAACCAAAGATCCTGAAGCTCCCAGTCCCTGGGTCCCTCCTCTTGCGACTTAAATTTTAATAAATATTTGTCCCATCATTTTGTGGGGGATGAAGTTAGACTCACACCACAGTAATTGCCAGGCTTTCTGTTTTTCCCCTCGAAGACTGGTACCGTAACGTCAGCTGACCAGGGTGAGGTCAGTCTAGCCTTGTGGTGGGAGTGGGCAGCAGGCCTCGTGGCCAGGTCAGTGTTTTAGTCAGTTGTCGGGAGCCAAAGCCACTGGGAAAACCTGGAGGTAGAAACTGGGTACCAGAGCCAGGGGATCGAGCCAGAGGCCGTAGTCAGGAGCCAGAGCCAAGGGTCAGACCGGGGCAGGAACTGGAGCGAGCAGGGTAGCAGGCAATGAGGGATTCAAGGAAAGGACAGGACAGAGGCAGCAGGAACCAGGTAACATGAGAGCAGGTGCTGTGGTAAGCAGCATGAGTGTTGAGAAGCCAGCGAGGTTCAGCCAGCAAGCTTATGAGCCAGCTTGCTGACCTCTGCAGCCAGTCGGGTTTTGTGGCTAATCCGGCAGCCTGCTGCCAGCCAGCTTTATTAACGAGGCAGCCTGGAGACTAGCTCTGCTGCAGACCCTGATTCCTGACACACAATCGCCCTTCCTCCGCTGCTTCCTCCGTTTCCTGGGACTTCCCAGAAGTAACTGCCTCAGGGCCCTGGGATGCTCATCTTCCCGACCTGCTCATTTATATAGGGATGTTTATTTTGCCAAGTACCTGTGTTCCCTTAATCACTTTTTAATCAACAGCCGTATTGACAGGGTCTTCCACATAAAGAGGACAGGTCATTGATTCAGAGCGATCTGGGCCTCTTGGGGCAAGCAGACAATGTGTGTCTTAATACGGCTAACTATAAATGTGTACATCTAGGAACAAAGCATGTAGGCCATACATACAGGATGGGGGAACTCTCTCCTGGAAGCGGTGACTCTGCAAAGGTTTGGGGGTTGAGGTGGATATGCAGCTGAACATGAGCTCCCAGTGTGACGCTGTGGCCAAAAGAGCAAATGCAATCCCGGGATGCATAAACAGGGGAATCTCAGGTAGGAGTAGAGGTTATTTTACTTCTATATTTGGCACTGGTGCGACGGCTGCTGGAACACTATGACCGGTTCTGGTACCCACAATTCAAGAAGGATGTGGATAAACTGGAGAGAGTTCAGAGAAGAGCCACAAGAATGATTATAGGCTTAGAAAACATTCCTTAGAGTGATTCAGGTGCTCGATCATGCCCCTGCTTTCTCTCTCCCACACTGACCTGGGTGCAAAGTCTACGAGCTCAGAACCTGCTCTTTGGCTTTTCTCTGCACAGGAGGGTGCTGGAGGCGGCGAAGAGAGCCAACCAGACCGGGCACTTCATCTGGATGGGCTCAGACAGCTGGGGCTCCAAAATCTCCCCTGTGCTCCACCTAGAGGAGGTGGCCGAGGGATCTGTCACCATCCTGCCCAAGCGTGTGTCTGTCAAAGGTACGTGGGACTGGAGTCTGCAGCTCCCCCCGGCTGTGTCTCAGGGTAGGCTTGTGGGCAGAGCTAAGAGAGTGGGCGGGACTGGGGTGAGTACCGTCACTTTATTTTTTTCCATTTTGAGCCCTACTGCTTCTCTGCTGTAGGGCTCATCCAGTACCTTTGCCTGTCCACTCTACTGTGCTGTGCCACCCCATTCCCTCCGCCCAGCTGCCTGTCCCCTCTGCCTTGCAACTCAACTGGTTATACCATTGCATCTATGATCTCTCCTTTCCCCTTTGCAATTGCACCAAGCAGAGGCAAGTCCAGAATCCATTCCACACGGACATACAAACCTTGGTGCAGCTGCAGGAGCGCCCAAAGACGGAAGACTCCCTTGATCATGCAGGTTTCAGAGTAACAGCCGTGTTAGTCTGTATTCGCAAAAAGAAAAGGAGTACTTGTGGCACCTTAGAGACTAACCAATTTATTTGAGCATGAGCTTTCCGATGAAGTGAGCTGTAGCTCACGAAAGCTCATGCTCAAATAAATTGGTTAGTCTCTAAGGTGCCACAAGTACTCCTTTCCTTGATCATGCAATGACCTTTGAATAGCGAGGAGAATAAGGCAAGTGCCCACCTGGGAAGAAATCTAGATGTAGCCCTGGGCAGTGGGAGGAAGAACGCTGGAACTGGATTTCCGTGCCCCGTTGGTAGGGGTGCTAGGCAGAGTCCCTAGGGGAGGAGGAAGAGCTGAAAATGGATTTCTGTGCCGCTCCAGAATGCAGAGAGCCTCTGCCTCCCTCTCTCTCACGTGCTCGGCTTAGAGAATTCCTTTAGAAGAACCCAGTAATTATTCTGAAGCTTTACGGTGAGTGATGGATCCCAAGCGAAGTGGATGAAAGGCTGGCAAATGAAGGCATTATCAGGAGTATTGCAGTGAATTATTCAGTAAAGTATCATCATTCGTTTGCTCTGCTTGGGTGGCCGCTGAACTTTAGCTGAGGGCATCTCCTCACAGGGTGAGAGCTGCACAATTAGCAGGGCCGTTACCCTAATGCCAGGCTCCCCATCCAGGAAAGCATTCACACTTGGGAAGCTTGAAACACCCCCATCTTCCATGCCCAACCAGCTCAGCCTTAAAGGGTCCACCCCCTCTTGTTAGCTCCCTTGAGATGGGGGATACAGCTCCACTCTGGCTCTCCCCTGCTCAGTGCTGAGGCCCTTTCCCCCTTCCTGGTGCAGTCCCAATTCTTTGGCCGAGGTGTTTGCTCAGCCTCTGTCAGAGGTGGTAATGTAGACCAGGACCCTGCCAAGGCACTGCTTGCAAAGCCAGCAGCTTTCCCGGGTTCTGTACATCCTCTGCCATCATGGAGAATGGCAATAAGAAGCTCCTGCATGACAGTCTGGGCACCGTCACACAGCACTGTGATAGCAGCAAGAACCCCGGCAGCATAAAGACCCCTGTGAGCTTTGCAGATTGTGGGCCAGACCCTCAGCTGGGCCCTTGCCCCTTGCCAGCAGCACTGTGGATCTGGCCTTTTGAACGGCATCATGGTCCAGTGGTTAGAGCACAGGGGGGCCTCCTGGGTTCTGTTCACAGCTCTCCCACTGTCTGGCTGTGTGACCTTGGGTAAATCAGTTTACTTCCCTTTTCTTCAGTTCCTCGCTCCCCTCTCCCCCCCCCCCCCCGGTAAAACAGAGATGTTAATGCCTGCCTCTTTGGGTGGGTCGGAGGACTAGTTGAGGAGTGTTTGGAAAGTGCTGTGAGATATGTGGATAGAAGGTGTTGTGGAAGGACAACATAATCTCACAGGAGTGACCGCCCACCACTGAAACGCAGCCACCTCTGCAGTGGAAGAGGGCAGCTGTTTAATAGCACTCTGCAACATGACTGAGTAACTTAGAGCACGAAGCAAAGGGCGATATCTTACTCAGCGGATCCATCAGTGATACTTGACATCAGTCACACGTGGCTGGAGCCTTCCGTGCCACCCTCAGGGCTCCGGGGGCTGAGCCATGCCCCACTCGTTATGCTCAAGACTTGAGCAGAGCACTGGTTGTTGGGGAGTGCACAGGATGTTGTGCAAACTTGTTAGCGCTGCGGGAAGTGCTGGGAGCTGCACTCCCTGCATCTGCTGCGTGGCATAAGAGTGGAGTGGCTGGGATTTCCCCTTCCAGGAGCTGCCACGAGAGGGGCAGAGATGGGTGGGGTGGAAGATGCAGCAACTGGGGTGTGTGTAGTGTGAAGAGCTCCTGACTTGGCCAGTGCATATCCTGCTGCCATCACAGCATAACTGTTTTAAAGCATAATTATTCTGTGGCTCCTCAGCTCTTGAGCCAAAGATCCTGAAGCTCCCAGTCCCAGCCAGATCTGGCTGGGTGCCTTGTGGCTGGCTCCACCTTTATAATGATCTGAACCAAAGCATTGGCTCCCAACGCTCCCCTGAACTTTGGGAAACCCTAGGTCTGAATCTGAGCTTGGGATCTGCTGAGTACCCCTAACCCAGGGGATCAATATTATATGAAGCCATGTGGTTACTAGGTCCTGCGTTGTATCCCCATGGGCCCCTTTGCCTCTCCCATGGGCAGCAGCTCCCCATTACATTGAAGACTCCAATTTCCTTTCCCTTGTTTGTTCCCTGCTCAGCACAATGCCTGCGAGACACAGAGCTTGTCAGGGCACATTACGCTCCCCACCGTCAATCACTAACTCGTCTAGAGACCAAACTGCCAAGCGCATTGATGTGCTGAAAGCTTCTGACGGCTGCTCCCCGAGGCTTGGGGGCGGGACACTGATGCTCTCTTCCCTTTGCAGCAGTGGCTGCAGAGCAATGGGGTGAAAGGGCCAGGGGCACAGCGGGGGGCCCTCAGTGTCCAGACCTGCGTACGCTTTGTGGCATCTTTGAATCGGAACCTGGGGGCAGATGCTACCCCAAGGACCTGCATTTTGACGTGTGGTCCAAGGATCAGCGTCTGTCTCGCTGCACGAACGAAACGACTCCCACTGACATCAGGGGAGTCACATGGGCACTGTGGTGACAAGATTCCTTAGAAGCTTTTAAGGTCAGGCTTGACAAAGCCCTGGCTGGGATGATTTAGTTGGGGATTGGTCCTGCTTGGACTAGATGACCTCCTGAGTTCCCTTCCAACCCTGATATTCTATGATTCTAAGATAGTGCCTTTCCCTGGACCTGGTGTTTCAAAGGCAGGTGAAACAGAAAAGGGAGACAGAGAGCCAGGACCTGACTCGTATCACTGGCCTTGTGCTCAGGTGGCTAGCTTGAGTTGTGCTGCCGTGGCCACGTGGTGTATGTCTGTCTGCCTGCGCTGGGAAGTGCCCTCCCAGCAGCTGTGGAGACATACTCCGGCGTGACAAATGGGAGGCTGCCGGGGGGGTGGGGAAGGTTGAGGGCTGGGAATTAGAAGACCTGGGTTCTAATGCTGCTGTCAACTCGCTGTGTGACCGTGGGCCAGTTGCGTCTCCTTACGGTGCCTCATTTACGCCGTCTGTAAAATGGCGACACTGCTCTGCCTTTGTGAGATCTGGGCATGCAGAACGCTGCGCAGCAGGGCCAGCAAACTTCAACATGTGCAGAACCCACCGTCCGGGCCAGCTTTTCCACCGAGCAGCGTGTGTGCCAAGCTCTGTCCAACATCTGCCCCAGCTGCTGGTTCTGAGCACTTGAAACATCTGTCATGGGGCTCTTGGGGAAATCAGCGAAACAGGAGCCTGATTGGCCTTCTCTGTGCGCTGCGTTATTTTCAGCCCCTCCATCGTGCTTGTCTTTTGTCACATTTTTCTTCTTTCCCGCTTCAGATGCCCTTTGCGCTCTCCCACTCGGATGCCTTTAATCATCCTTGCCCTCTCCTTTGAGAGAAAGTCAGCACAACTAACTACGTGACCGAACGGATCCTCGGCCGGTGTAAATCGGCGTAGTTCCGCTGACGGCGAGAGCTGTGCCAGTTTGCACCCGCTGGGGAGTTGCCCCATGGCATTTAGCGGGAGAATGGTACTGTCAGTTCCTATAATGCCCTAATCTTTCCCGTGTTGTTTTCGGTGCCTTGAATGCTTCTTGCTGGCTTTTCAAAGCAGAGAGCAGACCCCTCCACAATGGCACCTGGATTTTTTTTTCCCTGAGAGGTTACAGGTAATTCAGACCCCATCACTGTGTAGCGGTGGTTCACATTGTTCTTTCCAGCATGCCCTGCCTTGCACCTTGTTGCACTGAATTCTGTTCCTCCACTGCCTTGCCTAATTACCTGCTGTTCCCAGCCTCTTCTGGGCTTTCTCTCAACCCTCCTTTATCTTGGCTCTTTCCTCTTGCAAGGGACTGTAACAAAAGCCGACTGAGAGTCTACCTACACTCTGTCCCCTGCATCCCATGCATTGGGGGAAACCGTCTTAATGGACAGCCTAAGCCACCAGGTTGTGGGGCTGGGAGGGGAGAAGAAACCCTCCCTCCTAAACGGTACAGCAGCCCTCTAGCTGATCCGTGGAGGGGTTGACATCTGCCTCAGGTCCTCCCTTACCTCTCTCCTGCCTCCCACATCCCCTCGGGATCCTCAGTGGAGGTAGCCCTCCCGCCATGGGCTCTGTGGGGGCATGGTATGGGGTTGATTTCCCTTTGCAGGCTCCTGGAATCCTGCCCCCATAAGCAGTGGGACCTCAACAGTTCTCTCTGGGCCTGCATAAGGGGACATCAGGATCTGACCCTACGTGTTAATTCCAATGGCACCCATTGGCAGATGGGGCCTTGGCAGATACTATTCTCATGGCCCATTCCAGGGGAGGGCAGAGGGTCTAGTACAGGTTTTTCTCCCATGTGGTTGTACCCAGAATCCATTCCAAGAGCTGCAGTTGCATAAAAGGGCCAGTTTTGGGGTTGGAGTGTGGGAGAAATAAACCTTAATTGTGAGATAATAAGCTGCAGAGTTACTGCAGCGGTTCAAGGAGACACAGTTGCATGTACTGGGCCAGTACACTCCTGGGGTTTTTGTTTTGTTTTCTGGAAGGCTTCATGTCAAGCTGCTTGCAGTAACCTTATCTTGCCCACTGGGGGATGTAGGAAGTATTGTGGGTTATTTATGCTGTTGCATTTATAAGCAAATGAGGGAAATATGATCTCGATGAAATTACCATAAGGTGGGTGCACAACAGGTTGAAAGATCATATTCAAAGAATAGTTATCAATGGTTTGCTGTCAAACTGGGAGACTCTATCTAATGGGGTCCCATAGGGGTCTGTCTTGGGTCTGATAGCATTCAGTTTCCTAAATGACTTGGATGGGGGAGTGGAGAGTCTGCTTATTGAACTTGCGGATGACACAAACTGGGAGGGGTTGCAAGCACTGTGGAGGACAGGGATTAGACTTCACAATGATCTTGGAAAATTGGAGGATGGGTCTGAAATCAACGAGATGAAACACAAGACAGACAAGTGCAAAGTAGTTCAATTAGGAAGGAAAAAAAATTCAAATCCCCAGATACAAAAGGGGGAATAGATGGCTTGGCAGCAGTACTGCAGAAAAGCATCTGTGGGCTGCGGTGAAGAACTAAATGACTGAGTCGGCCATGTGATGCTGCAGCAAATGTCATTCTGGGGTCAGTTAACAGGAGTGGCATAGGGAAGACATGCGAGGTAATCATTTTGCTCTGCTCAGCACTGGTGAGGTCTCAGCTAGAGTACTGTGTCCAGTTTTGGGCACCACACTTGAAGAAACTGTGGTCAAATTGGAGACAGTCCAGAGGAGAGCAACAAAAGTAAGGTTTCAGAGTTGCAGCCGTGTTAGTCTGTATTCGCAAAAAGAAAAGGAGGACTTGTGGCACCTTAGAGACATTGGTTAGTCTCTAAGGTGCCACAAGTACAACAAAAGTAAGAGATTTAGAAAACGTGACATAGGAGGAAAGACGGGGGCAAGTTTAGTCTAGAGAAGAGAAAGCTGAGGAGGGGCCTGATAACAGGCCTTCTAAGTAAAAGGTCATTGTAAAGAGGAAGGTGAGCAACTGTTCTCCATGTCCGCCCACGGTAGAACAAGAAGCAATGGGCTCAGTTTGCAGCAAGGGAGATTGAAGGTAGATATTAGGAAAACCTTTTGAAGTCTAAGGATAGTTCAACACTGGAACAGGTGACCTAGGGAGGTTGTGGAATCCCCGTCATTGTGGGGTTTTAAGAACAGGTTGGACAAACCACCTGTCGGGGTGGTCTAGGTTTACTTGGCCCAGCCTCGGCTCAGGGGGATGGGCTAGATGACCTCCTGTGGTTCCTTACAGACTGGATTTCTATGATTCTGTGAAATATCCAAGTCCAGGTCTTCTCCTCCCTTCTCTCATATACTCAAGAGGGCCAGATCCTTGGCTGGTGTAAAACATGGCAACGCCTCCAAAGTCCATTTATATCAACCGGCCCAGAATCCTCCCTTCCCAGAGCCTGTCCCAGCTGGTCCCAGTTCCCTTCCCTCATTCTAAGCTACAAGTTGGCCAAATGGCCTAAATATTACCCCAGTGCATGCAACCCTTGGGTCCAGACTTGCAGAATGCAGAGATGGGAGGGGCTGCTGAAGGCTTTCATCTCCCACTGCAGCCTGCGATGATGCCTCTCCCTAGCCACTCTGTCACTTTCTGCCCACTGGATCTTTGTGGTTGCCTGGAATGGTCCCTTCACCCACTTGCCTCTTCCCTCTCCAGCCTGTTTCAGACCTAGCTGCGCCTGTTCCGGCTGGCTCTGGGATTTCACGCTTCCCTCTCCTGTTCTCTTGGCAGGTTTCGACCGATACTTCTCCAGCCGGACGCTGGACAATAACCGGCGGAACATCTGGTTTGCTGAGTTCTGGGAGGACAACTTCCACTGCAAGCTGAGTCGGCATGCGCTGAAGAAGGGCAGCAACATCAAGAAATGCACAAGTAAGAGGCGAGGTGGGAACGGGAGGGGTTTGGAGCGAAGCCCCATAAGGCCAGCGCCGGAAGGAAGGGCAGAAGGGGGCCCTTTGTGACCGGGTAACAAGGGGCGCTGTGGTATCCAGGGAGGGAGGGAAGGTGAAACTAGATGGGAGCAGCCTGCTAAGATAACGGGAGCAGCAGGAAGAAGCCCGGTGGGGTTTGTCATTGGTGTTCATGGGTCACTCTGCTGGGTAAGGGGAGATGAGACAGCCCTGGACATCTGGGGTCAAATGGGACTCATGCAACAGGGCCTAGATTGCCATCCTATGACCCATACAACTCTGTGGGCATTTGTGCATATCGTGAACCGTACCCTTACCAGTGCTGTTGGGCTCAGGCTCTCACGATCTCTACCCTACAGAGACGATCAGAAGGATGGGGCTGGAAAGAGGTGATGTGGCAGAGGGGTGTGTGTGTGTGGGGGGGGTCTAGTGTTGCAATATCCGGGGGTGCTGTAGGTGGGGACTGAGGTGCACTGGCAGAGCTGTGTGGGGAGCCCAGGGCTGGAATAGCAGGGGTGTTGTAGATCAAATTTAGGGTGCATTAGCAGAGCTGGGCTGGAACGAAGGATGTGGCTAGCGAGGAGGTACTGCCGGTCAGGATTAGGGTACATGGGGAGGACTGTCTGGGAGCCAGGGACTGGAGAAGCAGGCATGTATTATATGGGTTGTAAGCCATGTGCATTGGCAGAGGAGGGTGGAAGGTGTGAGGCTGGAATAGCAGGGAGGGCTGCTGGTCAGGACTGACGTACGTTGGCAGGGCAGGGGGGGCTCAGGACAGGAATAGCAGGGGTTGTGGCAGGGCAGGACTGGGATATGTTGTCTGCTGGGTGGGGAAGCTGTGGAATCCCGCATCTCCCATGAGCAGTAAAATAGCATAGATTGCACTTAACTAACCACATCCCTAGAGCTCCTTTTCCAGTTCCCCTCTCCTCCCTTGTGGGCCTTTCTGCTCTCTCCTCAAGGTCCCCTTCCCCCCAAACAGCCCTTCCCTTAGGCATTAATTTCCCTTTGCACTAATTCTTCCTCTTGTTTGCTCGTAAGTTTCTATTACACCACCGCAGCATCAGCGAGACTTATCTGCACAGATCCTCTCTGAGTCGTTGGTGTCTTCTTTTTTATTGCCTTGAGAAAACCCGTTTAAAATGGGTTATTTAAAAAATGCATTCAAACAGGTTAGAGAGTTGTGCCGGGTAGGGAGGCAGCACCATGGAAATGTGCCTCCAGCCCACTAGATGATAGAAAATATTCAAGACATTCATACTACTTGGAGCAGCTTTAAAAATGTTTCCTTTTGGTTTCCTCTTCCAGCCTCTCAGATCTGCCTAGTTCTGCTCCCTATTGGTGTGGAGCTGCCTTTGATTCTCCTCTGAAATGGGAGCTGACAGCCAGGAATCTCTCTTAGCCCCCTCTGCTCCTGTTCAGTGTTTAATGCTTTACACGCAGCTGGGAATGCCAAAGCGTGAGTTGCATCGTGTCTTTCAAGTAGACCATGCTTCGAAAACTGTCCAGGCGAGCAACCCAGATCAGACAGACATGGGGCTCTTTCGAAAACTGTCAGTTCAGCAGTGCACTGGGTGTGACTGTGAGCATAGTCTTACACTCATATGCACCTACACATGGTGTTCTCCATGCACACACATATGCTGTAGCCTCTATGTGCCACACGCAGATCTGCTGTAACCACTGTACAAATCACACTCATCTGCATGTATGTGAGTGCACACCCAGCCATGCTTTAATACACACACACACTCAGATGTTTGCACACGCGCTTGTTTGCACACCCCCTCACACCCACTGAAATGTGTGTGCCTTCATTCTCACTCCATCCCTCTCTGCTGTGCTCTGTTTTTCTCATCATCCCCGTGTCCCTTCTACCTGCTCCACCTAGAGCCAATGAGGTGCTTGGCGCTGTTTTCTGGGAGCACAGACCCACCACCATGCAGCGTGTGTCCGCCCTGCAAATAAAAGGCACGTTCTTAACCCACAGTGGCTAACACTGAAGTTAAAACAGGAGTGAAGTCACAGCAACTCAGTATTTAATGGGTTAACTGCTCAAGTTCAACCCCAGACTCAGCGAGGCCATGTCTATACTGCGTCTTGACAGGGCGGTAGACGGAGTTGTGGAAGTGGGGCTTGCGCTAGGGTGCTAACGTTAGCAGTATGGATGTTGTGGCTCGGGCTCTCAAACCCATCCAAGGCTTGAGAGCCCAAGCTGCAACGGGTGACTGGGTGACCCCTCCTTCTGCCTGTGAATGGCTGTGATTGCCTGTAGGTCCTTTGGTGTAAGCAGCTAATTTTCTCTATGACTCGCAGCAGTGAGGTCGTGCCTTGATCGATAGCACCGTGTCGACCATTCGCATTCTGGCAGCATGTTCATGCATGTTGCAAAGGGGACTGGAGATAGGGCAGGGAACACTTCATCCCCCACCCCCGGGCTGGAATTTGGTTTAGTGATGCTTCCGCAAGCTGTTTGGCGGAACGAGCTGGGAGCTCTCAGCACAGACGCTGCTGGACAAAGGGCAGTACCGTGGTTTGTCTGAGTACATGCATTTACTACGTGCCCATCGCTGCAGGGCCAGAGCTAAAAGCCGCCCTCACAACTGGCACTATCTGTCTAGCTCGACAGCAGCCTCGGTAGAGAGAACAAGGGCTGAATGGAGCACGGAGCCTCTATTCCTGCCTACAGGTGGGTCTGGGCGGAGGCACGTGCCCGCAGCAGGTGGGCAAACATTCTCTGCAGGGCTGGGGTAAGGGAACTTCATCAGCACTCACCTCTCCTGAGAGCTGGTGTCAACCAGCTCTGGTGCAGCACCGCAGGATTCATCCCTTTACAACAGCTGAGTATGAGCCCACTCGCTGTGTGTCTGCTGGCCCTGCCTTTTCCCATCCCTCTCTCCCTGACTCACCGTGCTGCAAGGGTCTGATTCCCATTTACACCAAGGCCCCTTTATGCCGCTCCGGTAGCACAAAGGGGCCTTAAATCTGGTATAAATTACATTTACGCTTCCTCCAAGTGCCCTTCACGCTCCCAGGGTGTGTGTGAAGGAGCCTGGGGGCCACTGAGAATCACAGCCACCTTGTCCTCCTACGCTCTGTGGCCCCAAGCAATGATCTCACCCTCTCTCCAGTGTACCCTCAAACTGATTCCAGCCACACGCCTAAGATGGCCCTGATCTGGGTTAGCATTAATGCTTCCTCTCGGGCCAGATCCACAGCTGGCATAAACTGGCCGTGGTGAGGGAACCACACTGATTCACACCCACTGAGGATCTGGCCCCATGCCGGGGGCCACTTTGCTTGCTGCGGATTCTGGCATTCAGGTAAAGCACCCAGTCTAGCTCCCTGCCCCATAGCAAACACTGAACCACTGTGAATGCGGCTGCAATGGGGCATCGGGCAAGGAGCATGAGCCAGTGTGACAGACTGGAGATAAAGGGCTCCAGTCACTTTCTGTGCCCCTGGCTCCAGGACTCAGTATCATTTACATGGCAGCCAGTATCTCCGGGGTTTCTTTTTTTCCCCCTCTAACAACAACTTTTCATTGCATTTCCCCGCGAGTCTAAATAGTTTTATGGAGTGAAATATTTTAATGGGTGCTGGAGGCAAAAGGTGGCGAGCACCAGGGAATCCGTCATTTTGCATCCGTGTTTGTGCGTGGGCACGTCTCAGGAAAGTCAGAGAGAGAGGCATGTCTTCCCTGCCTGTGCTTTGCCACTTCCTCTGCTTGCTGGCTAGAGGGAAAGCACCCTCTTTTCAGTCTGGCCCTGGCTTATGGCCCATGGGTTTGTAGAGGAGGACTCAAGTGCCCTCTGCCCAATTGATCATGTTTGGCTGTTGGGGGCTAAAGGAAGGGTAGATTTCTAAGATACTTATCTGACTCCGTCACCTTCCTATCTGAGCATCTCACAGTCTTTAATGTGTTTATCCTCCCGACACCCCTGTAAAGCAGAGCAGGGCTGCTACCCCCAGGGTACAGATGGGAAACTGAGGCACAAGGAGGCTAAATGATTGGCCCAAGGTCACACTTGGAAGTAGTCTGTGGCAGAGAAGGGAGCTGAACTTGGGACCGTTCAGTGCCAGGCTAGCGCCTGGCTGCTTGGAGCCCAGCATGCATTGGGATTGATGTTCCTAAGTCACTTAAGCACTTTAGAAAATGTTACTTTCCGAGCTTCAGTTTCCTCTGCTGTAGACAGAGCCAGGAAAACATGTCTTCCCTGGCTGGCAGGGGGGATGTGTCAGTGTGGTACAGAATAGAGGCAGACATGGCCCCTGCCCATGGGCAGTCTGAAGCCTAGTCTAGATATTGGTATCTGATTGTGTGCTGCCCTGGTATGGACTGTAGGCCCATGGGCGTTACAGGGGAGTCCAAATGCATCTGGTGCTTGTTTGGTATGAGCCTGCTCTCCCCTCTGTGCTCGGAGGGCGGGGCTCTCAAAGGGCCCAGGAAGCCCCAGCAGAATGGAAGCCAAGGGCGCTCCTTGCGCCTCTAGAAGGCAAGGTGTGCGTTTGCATGGATTCTCCTCTCCCTTGCACTGGCGTAAAGCAGGAGTGACTCCAGAGTGAAAGTGACACAGGCGTGAGGGGAGAATCGGGCCCCATCATCTTTTGGAGCTGGGGGCTGTTCCAACCAGTGGTGTGCGTCCCATCCTGGGTCCCTACCTGTCCCTGATCACAAAGGACTCTGGCACTCAGCCACCACCCTGACCGCCCCTTCTCATGTGACCATCTGCATTTTTAGCCCTGGCCAGCTAGGGATGAAAGCAGTAAACAAGGCAAATAGGGAATCTGTCTTGTTGACAGCCCTGCCGTTGAGGTGACGGTTGGAGGCTCAAGGAGGTGACATGTTTACTGAAGGATTGGAGAGATTTACTGCTTGCCTGGTGCTGGGGGAAGACAGATAACAGCTGGGCTTTCAGACTGAGACAAGGAGAGATTTCAGGACATCTGCTAGCTCACCTA